ACATAAATATTATATATTAAAATAATATTTCTTAATATAAAATAATACATTAAAAAAGTAATAATTCAATAGAAAATAAATTAAAAAAATTTATTTTAAAAAATTAATAATCCAAGAAAGAAAGAAAGATACAGGGTTTGGTGCATAATTGTCTTTCCAACCCATTCAGCCAGAAAGATATGATTTTTGGGCTTTCTGGGAAAGACATATCTTACCGGGAAAGAGCCATTTTTTTGTGCAAATCAAACAGTCTTTCCGGTCCATTCAGCCAGAAAGATCTGTTTGGACCTGGAAAGATGCGTATCAAACGGGGCCTAAGAACCGTCATCACATACGACATTGAAAGGTAACCATACCAGATAAGCCCAAGCCGTAATCTTTTTCCAAGCTACCTTCTTCAACTTCTCTTTAATCGGGTTATTCTTATCCAATGTAGTTTGCTTTCCTTTTCCATGGTCTGACTTATAAACATCATCAATAGGACCTCGTACATTACTAGAACTTACAAACTTTTTTTTTTAACTTGTGGGGTATCGTCTTGCTCGTCCTCATTTTCAGTAAGGTCTATACAACTTGTTGATCTAAGTATTTCTATTGTTCTTTTTCTTTCCGTTTTTTTCTTATCTTTTTCTTTCATTGATTCAATCACTTTCTTGGTGATCTCCGTAGTCACCTTAGTGCAAGCAACTACATTTCCTCCCGTATGAGTGAGGTGTTCTTTTAACCTTGTGATCCCTCCACCTACTCTCCTGTCACACAAGGTGCACTAAATATTTTGTTTTTTAATGGATCCTTTTGAACTCCCCATTCCCAATCCATATCTTTATTTACATTTACACTAGCTGTATTGGCATCTGATCTCGTATTAGTAGGAGTGGTGGTGGCCGGATTCACAAAAGCATGTGAAGAATTCCCTTCCATATTTGCCAATTCACAATTGATTAAACATGTTTCACAATCACATGTCATTACTCATTATTCATTAACAGAATAACAACTTAATGTTTTATGTTCCTATTTCCAAAATCTTAACAGATTACATCACATGAGTACACAAACTCACAAACATAAATGGACAGTCGAACTTTTGCCCATACAAGTTTCATTGACATACTCTACAAGTGACTCTCATATCATTAAGGTCAAAACAAATAGATTTTGATATCCATGTAACATAGATGTAAGAAACTAATCAGTGATATATATATATATATATATATATATATATATATATATATATATATAT